AGAATATTTTTTCGAAAAACGATTTTTAGTTGTTTAGTCTGTTACAGCTTGGATGTAACTTTTATTATTCGTATTTAAACCCGTTTAACTCTCTCGCGTTTAACATGATATTAGATAATTTTCATTCTTCATTTAAACATTTATATTTTTATCGTTTCTGTAGAAAAACATTTTTTCTTTTTTTGTCGTCTTTTGTTTTACGTACGAACTAATTAAGTTAAAGTTAAGATACATTTTAAAACAAATGTTTGATACTAATAGTCTGTTATCCCATTTTTTACACGGACAGTTTAAGTTACACTTCGACAGCCACGTTCCATTTTTCATCTAATCATTATTTTAGGTATTAGAGCAAACAGATGTATGGGATCCCGTTCAAAGCTCGTGCGTACTGCGTCCGCGCAGAAAAAACAACGCCATAAATGGATTATTCGAGCCGTGCGTCGGCGGTCGTGAATAAAAATACCAAACCAAATTCAATATGGCGACAATTAAAATCTACAGCCAGGCGTTCGCTTGTTAGGAATACGAATTGCATAGCAACATATTATATAAAGCTTTAGACTTAGTTTTCGCAATTTACCATTTTCCTTTGTTAATTTAGCACTTTTAAGAAACGGTTGTTAGAACAAGATGTTTACGCTAGTAATGGTTAAAGTGTTAAATACTGTCTATAGTTCACGCGAGTAGTACTTAAATGTGTTTTTATTTATAACGATTCTGTAAGAACTGATAACGATTAAATAAAACACTTTAACGGTTGAAAACGCGATATATTAGTTAAACTTATTTGGAAATGATTTTTAACTTCGGCCCGACGTTTCGGATGGGATGGAGTCTCCCCGTGACCACGGCTGCTGCAAAGCATCCGAAACGTCGGGCCGAAGTTAAAAATAATTTCCAAATAAGTTTAAGTAATATATCGCGTTTTCAACCGTTAAAGTGTTTTATTTAAATGATTAAAGAGTTGCTTGAACATTTTTTTAAGCACTTAAAGTGTGTATTTTTTATGATAAACGTGGACCGAAAAGTATGTGGTTAATTTTATGGTAGTTGAAATACTCTAGCCAGGATAAACAGATGCGCTGTCATAGTTTGAAGTTGGACATTCGGAAAATCACAGACTGAAACCGAATCGCGATTACACTCACGCCTTTTTTATGTGTTGACGGTGGACCCGGGATTTTGATACTATACTATCCGTATTTCGAGACAAAGAAAAGAAACACGAAATACATGTTTCGGATTACAAATTAATCAGAAATATGTTTGGCTCAGTGGTGATCTAACCTACGACCCATTCATTTTTGACGATTGCTAAACCAACGAGCACGTCAAATCTTAAGTTTTTAAGTTAAGAGTCTGGTCTATATTGTGAAATCTGTATGTGTATGTAATTCGTTTAAACAAACAATTCAGAGAGTGTTTAATATATCTTGGAAAAGATAACACATTCTCACTTAGACATTACACCAGTAACAAGTTTTCAGTAATTACTTGAATGATAAGAATCTTTCTGGTGTAGGAAGTTCACCACATTCTAGGCACCAATATAGGCCATCCAGATTAGCCTGGCAAATTAGTCAACGCACGGTACAACAGGGCACTTTCATTGTTTCATTATCAGGCAGCTTTCCACGGGTACCACAGTGTGTAGACTAACAGTAACGCAAATGACGAAATGCAAATATTGAATGCTGTCCATATTCGCCGCACGATAAGTAAGTAGAAGTTAAGAAGTTAAATTTAAAAACACTTAACAGCTGCTTCATAGCCTCCGAAACCTCGGGCCTTACTAAAATTGAATTGTCAACAAGTTTAACTAATAAATTTCGGGTTTAAACCGTTAAACGTGATTTATTGAAATGCTTTCTGATCGTGTAAACTATACACTGTCTTAAGTTTTAAATTTGTTTGAGCAATGTTTAAATAAAACATTTAAAATAGATTAATACTCGAAGTATATTAGTTAATTAATACTGTGAAATTTTACGTATTAACCACAAAACAAAATATAAAAGTTAATTTCCACATAATATTTATCTACTAAAACTAAAAGAATACTTGAAACCTTGTACATTAGATGTTATTCCCAACTGTTCATATTACGTCTGTGGAAGTCATTATAAAACCAAATAGAATTTATCGGGACAGAATGGAATACCGCTTAGCGTTTTCTCTTTATCAAAAAGGGTGCGGTATGATTTACTTTAGCTATTTTTGGGTAAACACGACTGCGCTGTGGCCCCAGTTGTGGCGAGGGAAATCTTTGCTTATAATGTAAGTGGGGTCATTATAAATGTAACGATAAATGAAGAATGTGTTTTAAGATCGAAAAAGTTACTATTGGTTCTAAGTGTGTGAAAGTTTGAAAACTTGAATATTTTTCACATGATAGCATTAAATAATTTTAAAATGAAAAAGATAGAGGCGGGACTCGAACCAGCATTCACAGCTACCCGTGTTTCTTGTCTAATCAATGAGCTACCGTGTATTAATTTCGTTAGCTCAATTGGTCAGAGTAAGTAGCATGGTATGCCATCGATGCCGGTTCGAGTCCCGTGTCGTATTTCTTTTCAATGTATAAAGATTTCTAACACTTAAATAATAATCTTATACGTTGATATATATTCTACCACGATCCAACGCTTCGGATGGTTTATAATGTAGCTGCCTTCCTCCATTATTAAAATAAGCCTATAAAAATGTATCGTATATGCAAATCTCAACTTATATACAGGATGTTTGCCATTGGTAGCCCTATAATTTCGCCATTATATCCTGTTTAGAACATGATGAATGAGCGGAGATAAAGAGACGTTTTCAAAGAAACCGCTCAGTTTCCGTATCCTCAAGCTAACTTTCACTGGCCCCGCCCTCAGCTATTTCTAGTCACAGACGTAGACTACTTGGTGACAGAAGGTAATTCATTTATAATATTAACGTAGTTCCAGCAAGATGTGTAACAAGACGTTAACTTAACGTTACAGAAACAGAGGAATCGTATGTAAAAAATAACGGTTTAAAACGCGAAACATATAAGTTAATCTTATTGAAAAAATATTTTACTACGGACCGACATTTCGGATGCTTTGCAGTCGTGGTCATGGCGATACTTTAGAGGGAAGGTGTCTCTAATGTCTCTAACGTAGGTGGTATATGACGTACATTGGTACGACAGAACAGATGGCGCTGGCGTAGCTGTTTTTATCTTTAGTCTCCCCGTGACCACGGCTGCTATAAATCATCGGAAACGCCGGGTCGTAGTTAAAATAATTTTCAAATACGTTTAACAAATATATTTCGTGTTTCAAAGTGTTTTATTTCAATGTTACTACTCGCGTAAACTACAAACAGTAGTATATTTAAATTTATTACTAGAATGATTTCTTTTTACTTTTTTATTGTAAGTAATATGTGGTAAAACTCTTGCTTTAATAATTAGTAAAACTGCGCCGTAATAAAGATTTAATCTTTTAACGATTTTATTAAAATCATATTTTGACAGTGTACTTAAAATAAAACATCTGAAATAGTATAATACTACAATGTTTGAAATTAGAATTCAACAAATTCATTTTTTTCTTAATTAATATATCGCAAAAAAATCGTAGTCTCTATATTATAATTAGTCTATAGCTCAGAGGTCTCGCATAGAGAGGTTCTTGCCCTGGGCTCTGCTTGACCCACTCAGGCAGACAGGTTGCAAAATTGAAGGTCAACTCGATACATTCTAATAAATGAAGATTTTAACGTTTTAATTACTATAAATTGGAATTTAAAAAATATAATGTTTATGTAATTTAGAGAAGACTAAAGAGAGAGTTAATAACAAAATGATTCGCCAAAAAAGATAGTTTGCTGCAAGTATATATAGTCTATACGTGTCATCTGCACCTTTTCAAAGTATAAGTTCCTTAAGTTAAATTTATCCTTAAGTTGATTCTACCTTGTACCCTCTCTACTTCGGGAGAAATCCCATTTCACTTAAGTGTTTAACTACTAAACACCCCCCTCCCCCCGTTTTTTTTTTCAATTTATAATTTTTCTCAAACATGTTGGACTTCTGGAAATCTGGGAAATCTAATTAAATGGATGGTAGAAAATTCAAAGTTCCGTCCGGGTCACGAATGAAAAATCCGTGAAGTTTCGCGTTTCACTTTCAGTCTCTGGATTTCCGAATATCCAAATCTGAAATTGGTCGTCAGCGTATCATGTTCAGATGTAATATGGCTGGGGTATACCTCCCATCAAGTGAATCCCCATGCTGGTCTATTCTCCTATATATATAAAAAAGTAATTATAAATTGCGTTTACTTCCTCACAATAATAATTCACTTCCAAGATCGCACGGCGAAAGCACTTCGAGCTAACACGATAGCAATTACGATCATAGAATGTTAATTTCAACAATTGCGTGCTCACTATCTCTTACCGCAATTAAAACCTTGTTATTACCTATCAATACTTTTGTAAGTACACTCCGAGCCCACCCGGCGATCAATAATTCTGATATCCAGTTTCGCAAGGCTAAGACACTATACGTATACGGCATTGATCAAATGCTTAAAGATGTTTGCGCAAGAATCTTAGAAATGTAGTGCTTTCTCGCTAAAATAAAATGAAAAACTACAAAATTTAGGTTCACAATAGATACCTCGACTCTTCATCTTGAACCATTTGATGTACTTTTTATAATCATCGGTATTGTCAAAAATATATTACGTTCCTATTTACGTATCCTATGCACACAAGAACATAAGAAGAACAGACTATTGTAAAAAAATGATAGTCGATACACAATCTCACTAAGCGTTTAGTATAAAACAACTCCGTAACATGTAGACTATAAAACAACGGATTAAAAAATGTGTATTAAAATGACAAGCCCAATGTCTATTTGACACTATAAGAAAATTTTTATACGATTCCATTGGATTCATATATCTTTGATGATTTTGCTATAATTTATTTTTTATATTTAAACCAATTTTATCAGGATGTCATCAGAAGGTTCTGAGGATGAGGTTAAGACCGAGGTGGTGTTCGAAGCTCGGATCGAGGAGAGTTCCGAAGAAGAACCCCCCATGGAGGAATGGTCGTCTTTAATTATTGAAGCACCTGAAGAAAATAAGAAAAAAGCTCTTTACGAAGAAGGATTATATGATCCGGGTAGTGGTGAAATATGTGGCAAATACATTGCTATGTCCCAGAGCTCAGTATTAAGACACCCGTACTACAACTATCCCGCCGTGACAGATCCGGGTATAAAAAAGGCTCTTTTAGCCACTGAACCACAGGTCATTTATTCAGAAGATGGTCAGCAGCAGTACTTAGTTCTTTGCAAGGAAATGAATCAGTGCCCAGTTAAATCATTTCATAGAGGTTTACTCACAGATAGTATAGACCTAAAGTATTATTGCGTCAATCCATTTGGTGTTCGTCCTATGGCGATTGCTTTACAGTACAACAAGAACGTGCAGTCTCTCAACTTAACTGACAATTTTCTCAATGACGATGCTTGTTTTCATCTAGGAGAAATGTTTTTATGCAACTCCACTCTCCAGGAGTTAAACTTATCTGGTTGCAGGATCGGTCCGACTGGTGCAAAACTACTGTTTTCTGGATTACCATTAAATAAGAAACTACGAATATTAAATTTAAGTAAGAACGCTATCGGCGACGCAGGAGTTGAGCATCTTGCAAATGTAACTTTTCGTGGAATTGGTGTTCTTCAAATAATATTGAGTCAGAATGATATCACAGGTAAATCAATGTCAACATTGGCGGAATCATTGGAAACCCATAATAAATTTACTCATATCGATCTGTCCAGAAATAATCTATTTGCACCTCCAAATGGTGTTATAAGTTTTCTTAATCAATTAGGAGAAAATAAAAATCTTCAAGAATTAGACCTTTCGTGGAATTCGCTGGCAGGACCACGGATCGGAAATGCTTTAAAGACTGTCATGAGATCACCTAATTTGCGGGTTTTAAACCTAAATAATAACAGGTTTTCAGGGGAAGCAGTGGAGAGTTTTATACCGGCACTTACTAAGGCAAAAAAATTAATCACCCTTAATTTATCTTACAACCCGCTGACACCAGAAGACGCCCTTGTTGTTCTTCATAAATTAAAGTCTAATGCAGTAAAAGTCCAAAATGTTCTGATGGAAAACATATTTGTAAATGGTGAATTTTTAGTACTCTTGGACCACATCAAAGCAATGAAAACTAAAAAGAATGTCGTTATTACATACGGTGGTGTGGTGTCAGCTTTTAAACCTAAAGGGCCCGATATGAGGGACTTGGTCCTCAATCGAGCGGAATATTTAACTAAAAAACCCAAGAAGCGCTCTGACATTGCTCTTATAGTCTTGCAAATTTTTAAGGATAGCGATTTCAAAGAGATTATGTCTGCAAAAGCATTCGAAGATGCTATTGTTGCAACCGGTGCTCCACTAGATGGCGATCTTATTGATGAAATTGTCAACGCATTCGCCGGACCCAAAAGTGCTAAAACTAAGTTGATAAATCTGGGCCTGCTTGTTGACTTTATAAATAGGAAGTGGCCAGAAAGGAAATTGCCACCTACTCCGCCACCCGAACCAGAGCCTGAACCGGAGCCAGAGCAAGAGCCACCTCCTCCTCCTGCACCCAAAAAATCTAAGTCGAGGACAAAATAATATGTAATAGATGAATCATTTTAATATGTATTTTTATGTGAATTTATTTTTTATTTCTTTATTTTTAATATTTGCATAATAATGTAAACAAGATATGTTTATTTTTGTGTTTTATTATTTTTAGTAAGTCTCGCTTTATATATTATTTTTATCAAGTGTTGGTCGTGTGAAGTATTAGTTTTACGCCTTGTAATATATGTTGTATTGGGACGAGTAACATAAGGTCAGGAATTAAAAACGCGAGTATTTTCGATCTCTTTTATACCTTTTTTATCGTTAGTAGTAAAGAAAATATGTAATTTGTCACTTCACGCTGTCAAATATTCTTGTTATACCAGCAAAACAATTTATGGTGGATTTTACTATGACATATATTAATAGAAATGCCCAATGAGTGAGGGTTCATTCCAATCAGAAAAGGAACCTGTGGTTCAAGTAATTTTTCAGCACAGCATTGACGATGTTTCGATTGAGCCTCCTATGTCGGAATGGTCGTCGCTCTTATTTGAAGCGCCCGAAGGGAATATAAAAAAGCTTCAATACGAGCAAGGATTGTACACCCCTGGTAGCGGTGAGATATGTGCCAAGTATATTCCACTCTCTGCTAGCTCTGTTCTTCGCCATCCGTACTATAACTATCCAGGAGTTGTAGACCCCGGAATAAAAGAAGCACTTCTCAAACCTGAACCTCAGGTCATATACCCTGAAGACGGCCAAGAGCTTTACTTAGCTTTATGCAAACAAAGCAATTTGTGTCCCGTTCGAAAATTTTATCGAGAATTACAAACGATGAAAATAGATCTAAAATATTATGGTATAAATCCCCTGGGAATAAGACCAATGGCACTGTCTCTAAAATATAACCAGTTTGTTACTGTTATGGATCTGACAGATAATTTCATCGACGATGATAGTTGTTTCCACTTAGGTGAAATGTTGATAGAAAACGTAACTTTGGAGGAATTGAACCTTCAGGGATGTAGGATCGGGCCGGAAGGTTTGAAGAGGTTGCTAGCACATATACATATAAATAAAGGTTTACGTACACTTAACCTGTGTAAGAACAAACTTGGGGATAAAGGTACAGAATATTTGGCGAAGGCTTTATTTTTAGGCGCAAATATCTTTAACATAAATTTAAGCTACAACGGATTAGGACCCAATTCGCTTTATCCATTATGCGAAGCTTTCGAAACACACAACAAACTGAGGAGCGTAGATCTGTCCTGGAATAATATCATGTCTGGTAATGCTGTGTTTAGTATCTGTCAAAAATTTGCTCAAAATGAAAACTTCGAATATTTAAATTTAGCTTGGAACGCCTTGACTGGCGCAAGAGTCGGTAACGCTGCTAGAATGATTCTAGTAAAGTGTCCTAAGCTTAGCGGTATTTATCTAAATAACAATAGATTAACTTCAGATGTCGTTGGGCCTATTTGCACAGGTCTTTTGAACAGCAGCAGTTCAATTCTTAATACTTTGGACTTATCGTATAACCCCTTAACGCCCGACGACGCATTTCAGTTACTAGCTTGCCTGAAAAACAGAAAGGTCAAATTACAAAAAATATTAATGGATAATATAATGATTAAGAAGGAATTCTTAGACCTTCGTGAAGACATTTTGAAACTCAAGTTTCGCAAAAATACAGTTGTTACTTACGGCGAATTGAAACCGGTTTTCGTACCACAGGGCGTGAGCATGAAGGAAATTTTATTCAATAGAGCAGACTTCCTATGTTCTAAGAAAAAGAAAGACATTGCATTGGTGTTACTGCAAATACATAAAGTTTACGGTGGATTAATGGATACAAAACAATTCTCAAGAGAAATAAAAAGTCTTGGGGCTCCGTTGGACGAAGATGTAATAGAAGGTTTGACGTATGTCTTTCCTGGTGTTGTACTAGCTAAATCAAAGACAATAAACTTGAATGACTTAGTTGATTACTTGTCTCGCAAATGGCCTGACAGGAAGCTACCTCCCACACCTCCCCCAGAACCTGAACCAGAACAGCCTGTTAAGGAGAAAAAGTGATTTGTACAGTATTTACCCTGTTTGATTATGTTTCATACTTTAGATAGGTTGTATGTTTAGATGTCTTTAATGTTACTTAATTAAACGTATTTCAAGTTACACTGTATCTTTACATATAACATATATTACACTGTTTATAATCTTTGAAATGACTGCACCCATTCTGACTATTAGACACAATATGGTATCAGGAAAAAATCGCCCAACTAGATTTTAATAAAACTATCCAAAGCCAAAAAATTGTTTAGATGTTATATGGCTGGGATATTTCATCTACCATCGATCTATCATAAACAACTATGGCTTTCTTAAAACTAATTATAGTAAGTTTATATCTATTGTTTTTCTAAAGTGTCGAGTCCGTATTTCAATCTATTTTAAATATTTTCATTAAAAATTACACAAACACAAAGCATGCATGATGCGTGCGAATAAGGCGTTGCTACTCTTGATGTAAAGACGTCAAAAGAGCATTTATAATATTTTATTGGAGACAGCGATAGAAGGCCGAGTGCTCACCACGCTATCAGCTAGCCACTTCACCCGTTTCCCATTCCCCCTTTGCGGAGCTCATTAGGTTATCCTACTCTTACTGTCCCTTCAAACCTTTCAGTTTATTTGCAGAATCTTAACAATTGTTCCATCGTTGTTTCTCTCATGTCATCCTCTGTTATTTTGTCAGTAACCGTGTGTTTTTGCCTTAGTTTTCTCACTCTTTTCACTCCGGGAATAAAGGCTCGCTGCTAGTATATTTTTAGTTGTTATCGGTTCTAAGAGATTTACATTTGCGAGAAGCGTCCGTGCCCATTGTAGCCCGTCACGCGGTGCATAATGACGTATGCAAATTTCAAGTGTTTATTTCGATGCGCATACGCGAATACATAGTCCCCATTTACATGTTAATTGCGAGCCTTGTAACTGTCATGGATGCTCTTAAGCTCGTTTCTCAGGCGGATAGTGTTTATCACTTGGAGATCGATAAGTAGGGCGTGTTATCGATAATGCCTAGACTTATTCTATAGCTATATACATCTAGACTAATAAAGTATATAAAGTAAGGAAGTAAGTCTTAAGATGTCAACAGTTTTCCTTCCGCGTCTTTACTTTTAGATACAATTTTTTTCTTTTAGGTTTAAAGAATTAAGTATTTAATAATTCTCATTTAAAATAGTACAAAATTTAGCTAGCTTAGGCTTTACTTAACTTTATTAACACATTTTAACTACCAAAATAAAACATTAAATTAAAATACAAATTATCTGTACAAAATTGTTTATCCTAAGTAGTGTTTCTAGTTTACATTAATTATAATACACATTTAACGGTTTAAAATGCAATATCTTAGTTACCTTATAATTCATTTATTTTCCAAGAGCCGTAGGTTAATTACATTTAAGAAATTTAATACGCGTTTAAAACAGTTGTAATTACATAAAAAGAAAAATGTATATTGCGATATCAGTATCCTCAATTATGGTTTTAATTAAACTACTTTTCAGTTGAAAACAGTGGCGTAATAAAAACAGTTGGACGAATGTAAAAAGCTTAGCTTAGCTATAAATCCAAGCTATACCTACCTGATTTGCTTCGATTAGGCGCAACACGACAATACCGTGTTGATACGAAGATGCCCACAGTAGCGTGCGTCACGCGAGCCACTCTCGTCCGCTTATTATTATTTATTACTGTCCAATCTTCCGATAATACAACAAACGGAACGCCGCCGATCCTTCTTAACGTTTGAAGGAATTAGTTTTCCCAAAACCCCTTTCCAATAATCCGAGACTTAAGAATGAATGATGTTTATATTCGTATTCTTATTTTATACTTTTTTGTTACAGGTATGTGGTGGCTAAGCTGTTATTCGTGAGTTTATAGGTTCGAATCTAAACTAAAAACTAAGCTAAAACCCATGTGTTCGTAAGTCGTTAACGTATTGAATAAAAAAATTAACCTTTTGAACTAATTACAGTTTAGGCAAGCAGCACACATTTAAATAAAACACTAACGGTTTGAAAGGTGAAATTTATTTTAACAACGACCCGTTTCGGATGCTTTACAGCAGTTGTGGTCACGGGGAGACTTTTGAACTATTTAAACACGAGTGTAAGACGTAGGATTATTATTATAAAATCAAAGAAATTGGAAGAATGTGTAGTTTTAAAGATTTCATTTATTTTAGTAGACATAATTGAAGCTAACGCTATAAAATAATACATTGACTAATTATGTAGAATAAAATAACTTTAAAAATTAAAAATCGATTTTTAATTGAACAAATTTTGCGACACGGGCTTGGAACCGGCATCCAAAGCATGTCATGCTGTTGCTCTAACTAATTGAGCTACCACACTATATATAAACTATATAAAGTAACTAAATAGAAAATTAAAATACCGCACCTAATTCATCTTATAAAAATCTATCAATTCCGTATGGATTCCTAGTTATTTAAACTTCCTGTCTATATTTACAAATCATCTGCGCAAGCGCATCTTTAGTCAATAGAAAGTGTTTACGACGATGCGACTCGTGCTGATTAGGAATTCGGGACAAGTCTGCGAGTTACATGTGAACTTTTACTTTTATCGACGTGACTTTTCACTTTGTATAACGCTTACGTGAGGAGAGTTACTGCATAGACTATGGCTGGTTGTTTATTTTAACTGATTAAAACGTGATATATAGCCAGTTTAATAATTAATACCTTAATTTCATAAAATAGAATAGACGTAGTACACTTTAAAGGAAATTAACTTTTAACGATTTATTGACTCAAAATGGTTTAGTAGTACAATACGGATACTATAGTGTAACATACTTTTAAATAAAACACTCTTAACGGTTCTAAACGCAAAATGTTATTTTTATTTTAACTACAGCCAGACAATTTTAAATAGCTATGCTTATTTAGATGCGTACTTACTCGCGTAAACTACACATAATATACATATTTTTAATTTGTTTTTCCAAATTTGGTAAAAATATAGATCAATAGGGAGGACGGCCTCAAACTATCAAATACCTAGGACCCCATATTAAAAACTCTGGATCCTAATAAACAGCATACCAGCAAACGCGAAGACACCGTTAGTCAATTCTGTAAGGACCCGGCCAGTTTCGCCAAATGCCAACTTCGACGGAACAGATGGCGCTAGCGTAGCAATGTTTTACTTTGACGTCAGAGACATCCTCCATCTTTAGTCTCCCCGTGACCACGGCTGCTGCAAAGCATCCGAAACGTCGGGCCGAAGTTAAAAATCATTTTCAAATAAGTTTAACTAATATATCGCGTTTTAAACCGTTAAAGTGTTTTATTTAAAAATATAGAGAAATAGTTGTGAAAAGTGACAATCATGATTCTGCATGTTTGAAAAGGTGTAAGATGTTCTTAAGCTTTGTTAAAATACTTAAGGAAAAACGTAAGAACATTAAATCTGTACTAATATTATAAAGGCTGTTCGTTTGATTATACGCGCTAATCTCAGAAAATACTGTTTCGAATTGAAAAAACATTTAAGTGTTCGATAACGGAAAGGGTTCTCGAAACCAAACAATATCTATGAAAGAATAATTTATCATTAAATTATCTAAAAAAATGACATACAGTATATGTTTATTTATTTTTTGAACCTGGCAAGAACCGTATCTACATTATGCATTATAATATTAATCTAGCAAACAGAGAAACAAAGTTTTCTATATCAGCTGGTATGAAATTAGGCCTAGTCCTATTTGTCTTTTCGGATTCTGAATATATCAAAACTATATACAATTTAATCTTTGGTACAGCCCTCGGGTGCTCAGTAAATTAACCACCATTTTGGATGGTGTACGATCGGATAAGAGATTGAATTGAATGTATTGATTAAGCGACTGATTTACTGTTTGGAACTTTCGGTTTCTTTGACTTCAACTGTCTTTAAAATATTTCAGGTCTGTAGCGAGATAAGACTTAATTTACGTTCTGCAACAAAATTACACATTAATACGGTCTTTTAGCAAAACACACAGGAAAATAACTTTGTTTGGTATTAATTTACACATGTGCTATTTATTATTGAAACAAACAACTAGTTAGCTAATTTTGTTTAGATAATTATGTTGGGAAACTATTAAACAAATTTATCATTGAGAAAAAATCTAGAAAAAAGTTACACCTTTTCAAATAAACTACCAAAATATTATACTTTGATGTGCAATTGTTTTCTTGCTTGTACAAATGTATTTTATTTTTTGTTGTTTCCTATTTTTTTATCTGTTTATAGTGTATTCGTAGATACTAATGTTATACTAGTTTAAATTCATTAAGATTTTTTTATTACTTACCACACTTTTATTACTTACCACAAGAAACGAATACAAATACAGTCTAGTCATTGCGTTTACATAACTACGTAGAGTTATTGACTCCAACTCACCGGGCCCATCCGAAAGCCATTACCATCCTGATTATTTCCACTATTAGGATGCGCATGAGCACCGCACAAAGCCTACCGGTCATCTAATCCTTTACTGCGGTCGCCATGATTTAAGGTTTTATAGGATAAAAATAATTATATACTTAGGTTTTATATCAATAAAGCATTTATGAAGGTGCGAGTTCTTTAAATAAAACACTGTTTAAAACGCGATTTATATTAGATAAACTTATTTGAAAATGATGTCGCCCCGTGACCACGGCTGCTGCAAAGGAAAACATCCGTAAAGTCGGGCTGTAGTTAAAATACATACAATTAATACATATCGCGTTTTAAACTGTTAAAGTTTAAGGTTGTTGAACTAAACATTGACACCAACACCATTCAATGTTAGACTTAATGATGTCAAGTTAACCCTTCTATCGGGTATTACAAATGTTGCTAACTTATTAAAACCAAAAATTAAAACTATTAATAAGAACATGAAGAAACCAAAAGATTTGTACATTACATTACTTTTTTTCTACAACACTATCTGAAATGACGATATTAGTTCCTCCAAATTGTGTTGTCACCCTA